GGGTGGCGGCCCCAGTCGCAGCCCCAGTCGCAGTTTCTCTTCCCCGTCCACGTCAAAGCTTGCAGGAAATACAACACCGAATGCAGATGCAGATACATGGCAACAGCCAATCATACAGCCGTGCTTCTGCAGTGCCGCCACGCGCACCCTTTGGCATTTACTACGACGATACAGTTCTGGCCCAAGGGACATGTAACATGGGCAACTCAAAGCAACCAAGGTAATTACGGGAAAAACGACCCACCACGTCCTAGGCATGACTCCTCTCGCCTAAGGAACATTGGCCTACGGTCTACCTGCCGCCTCTCCCGTACAGCAGAAATACGGCCTTCACCGGCAATGAGGGCGAAGGCCGCCAAGGAACGCTGCCAAACTAGCGTTCAAAAGCAAGAAGAAAAGGAAAACGAACAAGATGCCAAGGAAAGCGGTAGCCCGCTAGGCTTTCAAAGAAGAACGACGACCAGAAGATTGCCAAGAAAGCGGAAGGGGGTAGGCTTGCACAGCTTATCGCTGCAATGATTTGCGGATACGACCACATCGCGCACAAGCACAAAATTGTTTGTGGGCAAGAGAAAAGTCCCAAGGATGTCGAGATCTACAATGTGGCTATGAAAATGACTCTTCGTAAAGACCAACCCAACGAAGAAGTCCTGTACCCTGGACTTGTCCAAATTTACCAGCAAGGAGATCCGTTCTCTCGCTCTCAAGTGTGGAGTTAGGGGAGGAGGTAACATGACGATTTTCATCGCAAGGATGGAGATTGCACGCAGCATTCAGATGGGCACTATGTACACTGACCTGTCTATTGCGAACCCAGGTTCTGATGCCGCAGCCGTGAGGATCAACACTCTCATCAAACTTTTGAATATTTGCTTCCACGCTGATAATTTCACTGCCTTTGTTGCTCTCAACGACAGTAAGGGACGCAAGGACTATGAAGAACAGCCACTCTCAGAGCAGGGAGTTAGCGGAAATCCCGTGAAAGACTTTTGGCTTCTTGTCTCAGACACGATGAATGAGACGGATGATGATTCATTTGACACCGTCTTAGGATTGCAAGAGGGAGAAAACGACAGGCTCAGTGCATGGAACCAAGAAAACGGTTTCAACCTTAAAGATATCAGCCGTGGCCACACATTCAAGACGGTTAAGCAACATGTGTGTGACTTGATGAAGTCACGCGAGAGATGCCGCATGGAAATGAAGAAATCCGGTGAGCACAGCAACGACCTTTGGACATACTGTACAACGACGAAGTTTACAAAAGTGAGGAAATCTACGTCTGCTCTACCTGCCGTTACAGTTTACTACTGTGACTATCTTTGTTGACAACAACCGGCCATTGATGGCAAGTTCGCAGCGTTTATGAGCAACGATTTGAAAAGTGACTCTACGATTGAATTTGCCGGGAGCGCCGATTCCGCTGGTAGCAAAGCTGGAAAAATGGCTGTATCCGCCGTGGTGGAATACCTTGCCACCGCCACCACGATTTGAAGGAGAGCTATGAGCCAAAGCAACGCGACGGAGGAGTCTCTCAAACGAATAGCTTGGAATGACTATTTCAGATGTTGGCGATCGGTATTGTAAATTGAAGGAGGATATCCGCAACGGGGATTCGTCCAAAGCCCGTATGGTTGGAGCCATGGAAATTCGTATCCGACAACTTGAAGCGCACTTGAAGATCGTGCCGGCCAAGTCAGTTATTGAAACAGAGGAAACTGGCGCACTGGCCGAATAAAAATACTAATGTTTAACACGAGATCCATGGGTCAACCCCCAAGATTTTCTCCAGACTTGGTCAAAATTCCTCAAATGACTACACTAAGATAGGTGGGGGTAACCTATTGGAGACTATTTTCCAACTCTATTACAACTAAAAATGATAGCCAGATGGTTGGTTCACATGAAAACCTGAAGTGCCGTCCCTGGGAGCGGCTCAGAGCGCCATTGTCTTGGTTTTTTGATGTTGGAGGCAATTCAAAATGGACGATGCAATGCCATGGTAAACCTCACTTATTCATAGACCAATGCATATAGTATGACAGTGCACTTCCACCTACATGTAGTAGCGATCATTCTCCAACGATGGCATCATCCGTAAGGTCCGTAGACCGTAATACCCTCGACCAATGCCTTCAAAATTGCAGGTGAATTTTCCTCGACGCGATAGACTGCTGTTGATCCTTTCGTTGTAAATTGTAGGATTGTAGTAGCCAACTCTTTGTTGTTGTCGGCTTTGTGGCTTCGTCGTTGTGTTGTTGATGGCAAAATTCACTGTGGCCGCTGCTGCGGTGGCTGTTGCGGTGGCTGCTCCAGTAGAGTGGCTGCTCCGGTTGAGAATATGAATCGCTTCGAGTTCCTGTCACTTCGAGTTGATCAGGAGGACACCGTACCGTGCGGTATGGTAGTAGCGTCGCTGTCGCCGTGGTAGTTGTTGCAAATTCGGTGCCTTGTTGTCTTGCGGAAGCAGCGCTGCTGATGGATGCAACTCGACACGATAGACTGTAGTAGCGGAAGCCACTGTTGTCAATCCAATTCTTGTTGTAGCAGCGGTCGCCTGCGGTAGCCTGTTGTTGTTGCATATTGTTGTTGCCGTTGTTGCCGTATGCGCTTCGTCGTTCGTTCGTTGCGACTCTTGTTGCATCTTGTTGCCTTCCCCAAAAAATCCCATCTGCAACTCGATCACTCCGCAGTCCGCAGTATCCTTTCTGCTGTCAATAAGAAGGAGTGATCGATCGTGAATAGCAAGTCGCTACCGCTATTAACAACAACTAGCTGTCGACCGTCGGTCGTCGATACCAATAGCGGGCGAAATGGGCTGCCGCAGCTCTGCCGCCGAGGAAAGTGTGGGTGGAGGGACATGGACAACCTCCTCTCGCCGATGGGCTCCAGGACGAACCAGACAAGCTTCCAACACCAAACCAAGTTGCTCTAGGTTCGTCTAAGAGGTAATAGAAGCGATCGGAACGGCTTATTTGGCTACCCCCATCTTCGTTGATGTATCGAAATGGCGCACTTTGACCAAAAGAGCCAATTTTATTAGGGGTAGAGTTATGGACCTCGTGTTAAATGTGACTCGTGTATTACTCGTCTTCTCTGCTTTTACGCTTTCTGTTCTTCGCAGGCCGTTGCAGCTGTAGACGCCTAACTCTATTGGCCATGAATTCCCGTAGATGTGAATTTCCTTCAAAGCTACCTGTGAAAACACCGTCCAACCGCACAGGATCGCCACTGTCATCATGCGGGACACTGGGAATGTATCCCGTACCATTTGTACCAAAGGCAACGGTGCCACCGTCAATTGTTTCTGCAGTTCCGAGGCGTTCGTTGATACAAAAGTTGTGCAGGCGAGCTATGGCTTGCGCCAACCACGGCATATTCTTCAAGGAGCAGCCAACCGGGCGCGCGAGTATTCCCCATTTCAGCTGCATCATTCCAAAGGCCATTTCCACACGTATGCGGCACTGACTGGCGTAGAAGTTGAAATTGTCGTAGAGTGGAACCAGCTTGTCGGAACCTTGGTACACCGGAACCATACGCTCTGTGGGAATATATGCAGCATCGCCGATTACACAAATACCAGATGGCAGTGACTCGACTAAATTGTGCAAAGCACATTGCCGCATAGCATTACGGTCGTCAGAAACGCCTGGAGCGGCAAAGGCAAAGAATATGAACCGGGAATGGTGATCAGCCACAGCTTGAATATTAACTCCGTAGCACTGATAGTGTCCAGAGAAGAAGCTGCGAATGTTGCCTGTTTCCTTTTTTGCGGGAACCCTTATACGCATAAGATAGCCATCCACGACACCCACACAGTTGCTTATGGCGCCACCATCGGATATCCCAGCAAAGCCGTCTATAGCGTCTTTTATTTCCTTGTCGGTAGTTGGGAAGCGAATCTTCAGCTGCGGACACTTACAGATTGCCGTTACAGTCTTCCATAGTACGCGATAGAAGGAGCTATGTGATATTCCAGCGATATCGGTAATATCTAGATATGACCCGCCTGCCAAATATCGAAGCGTGCAATAAAGACACAGTTCAGGAAGAATGGATCCTCCCCTCCGCACCGCTTGTGTCTCGTTTACTAGCAAGTCGTCAACTACGAAAGAAAGCAGTTTGTCGAAGCTTTCTTTGCTCATTCGTAGTCGTCGCTGAAAGGTTGAACGCCTCTGGTGCTTTTCGCAGTAGCGCTGCCAAGCCAACCTTTGTTCGAAAAAGGAAGGGTTACGAGGTTCGCCTGGTAGACACAGTAAAAGACCAACGGTTAGAATAAAGAGCTGCAAAAGTAGTGCGGCATCTTGTTCGTATTCATAGTCCATGACAATGACAACAGCGTGGCTACAATGCTGCCGAATGGCTACTACATGTACTGCCGAATGGCTACTACTACTACTACAGATGTACTTCTTCTCACTTTTCAATGATTTGATGTGCTCGAAATCTCGAGCTCGAGATCTCACTTTTCGATTTTCGAAACTCAATAGAGTTGGGGATTTGCGAATGAATGACGTATCTGCGAATGGTTAAGAATGAAGCCACATACGCGAGTAATAAATGAAAATAAATGTGGTTCTCATGTGGTTCTCGGCGTACGTACGAACCACATGATCGCGGATAGGAACTTACCTGAGGTGGTAGCATCCTCTACCAAAATTGGCCACTGCTAGCTAGTCCATCTTCGTGTCCTTCAGTACTACCGGTAGGAGACGCTCCACCTGATGAACCAACGTCTTCAACAGAGACTGAGTTGGTAGCATCTCCTATGCTTCGAAGGCTGGAGCCTTCTACGGAGAATGCACCAGTCAGGTAAAGATTGTCTTGGTCTACCTACTTGGCTGCTCACGAAACAACTCTGGCTGAGGGAGACCATTTTACAACTTTCTCTTCATCCGAATCATGGCCACTTGTAGGGCCATCAACTGATGAGGTAGTACCTTTGTGACTTGCTAGTGGTGCCAACAATTCTGCCGATGCCCGCTCAGTTCTTTCTTCATGCTTCATTGCATGGCAGCCTTTCACCGCTGGAAACTTGGCTTATAGCTATCGCCAGCGTGCACAGGGAACTTCAATGCACTTCGCGTTCGGCAACCACCAATTCGAGGCAATCAATCAGTTACTGGTGGTGGATGGTTCCAAGAAGGTACAGGACCAGATGTATCTATGCAATTGTCTAAACAGGAGAGTGGATTCAATGGAATCTTTATATTTTCTTTCTAAGAGAGCTTCTGATTGCAAGGCAAAGCAATGCAGTTAATTTGGCACCAGTAGCTTGTTGAGGTTTTCAGTAAAACTTGCTTCGTATGTCAAAATTGAAATGCTGAGACCTAAAAACTTTTCTGTGGTAGAATCCGCCAAGAGAGCGAATCTTCGTCTATCTATCGGAAGGAATGGAGATTACGCCTTTTGCGACAGCAGTGCATTGTCATCTAGATATCCAGCTGGGAATTCTTTCCCACTGGTCCATATCATTCCATTTCCCAAGAAATGATCCTTGATGTGATGGAACTTCACAATGGATTCTTCGACTCTGGAAGCATTTCTGGACATGATGCATGTTTGCACCACTGCCAATGCCAGAATCGAGAGTCCAAAATATCCCAAATAGGTAGCATAGGGCGCTGTATCGTATGGATCCTCTGCAATAATGATAGCTCGAATTGCCGTGGTGATGAGGCAGATGAGTAAACACGACAGTATGACGGGAGTAATTTCTGCTTGCCGTGTGAAGAAGGAGTATGGAATGATCAATAGGAAGGACAGTGCACTCAATAGTAACAGATAATTGCAGCAGTAAAACAGTGTCGGAGAAATCGTGATCCAACTGGCCAGAGCTCCCAGGGCTCCACAGAGAAGAATGATCCCTTCCACCTTGGAATATCGCGGGATGCCCATGATATCCGACATAACACCATTCATTTCATAGAGAAACATGCGTGGATTTAATTGGGAAGGAGCCGAAGGTCCCCATAGTTTATCTGTGAACCAAGGATCCAACAAATTCTTGATTCCAAAAAGGCCACATACGATTCCATAGGGAAGCAGGAAGAGGCTGCAGATGCAGTTTAGCAGGATGTTCATGGTTTTGGATGAAACTATATTCGATTCTGGATTCTTGATTTGATGGATTGCTCTTACTGGTGCCGGTACTGTGCCTCTTTAGAACAGGAGGGCTCCGATTGCTTCATGTTGATAAAAGAGGATATGAGATCAACCCATCTATCTTACTTCCACTGGGCAGAGAAGTGACACTTCTATTGTTGTGCGATGTGGTTCCGTCGACGAAGAGGTTTTGGCCGTGACGTCCATCGATCTTTTGTGAGAATCTTTCTCAGAAGATCCCTGGAGATTTAGGAGCTCACGTTAGTTAAATCTTTCAAAATCTGAAATCTTTCTCAAGAAGTCGACGAAAACGCATTGACAAACATCAGTTTATTTTTATTAGCAACCATACAAAAGGACGATCCAACCCAACAGCTCCACAACTAATACTGTAGCTTCCTTTCTTATTGGCAGATAAGATCATCATGTTTCGTTCTTGCATGGGCAGCAACCCGTCGTTGCGGTCGTTTACGTTTGTGGACGAGGAAGAAGAGACGTTTGAACCCGTAGAGGCACCGATACCCATTGTGAATGTGCTCTTGGAAGTGGTGGGGGCCACCAATCTGCCGACCAAAGCGGGCACTCGTCTCGTTGGAGAGAGAATCCTTCCGGATCCTTATTGCATCGTTTCGATTGTCCGTAGTGCCAGTCGCACTCCGGAAGTGGTTCATAGAACACAGACTATTTGCAAGGATGACAATCCAATTTGGACAATCAAGACCAAGTCTCTCTGTGTGGTATCCATTCCAAAATACGACCCGCAAAGACAACAACTGCCAATCTCTTTGGACAAAGCGAAACAGAAGGATGAAAACAACCAAGTAGTACCAGCCAGTGATGTCTCTGTTACCTCTTTAGCGTCCTATGGGACTGCTCTATCCAGTGACAGTCTTATGGATAACTCCGTCATCGCGTCTCCGTCCGAAGCCAACTGCCTCATCATTCAAGTGCGCAATGGAAAAACTTCACTAGGAAAGGTAGAAGTATCCTTTCAGCATGTTCTACAGTGCAATGGGGAACGCCAAGAATTCCCTCTCGTCACAGACAATTCACCACCGCCACCAGCCAGCATGGAAGACAACGACAACATGTCCATGCTACTACAACCACAAGAAGAAACCTCATTGACACAAAGCATGCTCGCTCTGCGCTTTCGTCCTGCCAAACCAGACGAAATCACGTTTCTCAACAATCTACGACGCAATCGAAACGTCTTTGTATCTGCCTCACGGAGACTTTCCAGATCGCTGTCTTCGGCCTCAGAAAGACCGGAGGAACCTTCGCATGACGAGGAAGCCATGGATGTCAACTTTCGTCTTGTGGTACGAAAGAGCATCTTTTCCTCCTACCGAAAAACACAGGGCAAAACAGGTGAGCCACTGGTGAAACTGCAACCACCCAAAAGAAATGCACTACAACCCGAAAAATCCATAGAATGGATGACAAAGACACAGATTCAAGCAGAAGCTTTAAAGCCATCCACAAAATGGGTCGAAACAGGCCATGGAGAAGCGGGGACTCTGTATTTGGAGATCTTGGGATGCGATAATCTTCCAGGAATGGTACGTAGTGTTGCAACCTGCTAAAACTGGCTCTGCGAATGGGGGACATTGCTTGTTGCGAAATCGACACTTATATTAAAACTGACTGTCACTCCAATTGCATGGGGTGCAAGGATACTGGCATTGTAGAAGATTCTTCGGATCCATTTGTAGGCATTGTATTTGAAGATACAATGGTAAGAACTCAGGTCTTGTTCGAGACATGTACCCCAAGATGGCTTCCGTGGTCAACGAGAGCCTTTGCTTTCAACATTGCACACTCGTCGTCCATGCTCTTTCTGGGAGTATTTGATTACGACGAAAACATGCCGCTGCAAAAGGATTATCATGACCCAATTGGACGCACCGTTATCAATACAATCAACTTTGAAAGCTCGGTGACTTATTTGCTCCGATATGATTTGATTGACAGCAGCAAACTGGATACGGTAAGGCGCCTGCACCTTGAAAAGAGTGTCAAGTGATGACACTATCGACGGCAATACACAGACTCTCAACACAGCCTACTCTTGAAACTGTCTACTAGCCCCGAGGAACCATCACGGTTCGTCTTCGTATCGAATGGGCAGATGAAAATGAAGCTGTCAAGCTGGCTTTGACGGCTCCACCTCGGATGATCATCAATGTGGAAACCGAAAAGGCTTGGCATGTCCTTCATTATTGCACTTATGGAGGAATCAACATGAATTCGCCGTCCATGGCGTCTGTGCGTTTGTATGCCAGCGAGGTGTACGAAATATGGAGAAACTACTGTTACTTTTTGGATGTGGTCGCCAATATACTATTGTGGCGAGGCCGGGTCAACCTTACTCTGTTTGAGTATTCTGCAAACATATGGTTCCCAATCCAATCCATCTGGTTGTTTGTTTCTGTGGCGCTTGCTTATGAGAAGCCATCGTACGCCCCGGCAATTTTCTTTTATGGCCTGGCTTGGATCATGATATCAATCAACTACTGCAGCAGTCGGCATCCATATGCTTGGTACAGAGTGAAAAGATTTGAAAGCCTAGTTTTAAGCACCTTATTGGGGACTGCAGCTTCCTCTACAAGGTCGGTCGAGGCAGACTCAACAGCTGAAGAGAAAGCTACCTACGATGCCCTGGACAAGCTCAAAGCTGACCGGATGATGGCGTTGATGAGCGCCTTCATCAGGACTGGCCTTAAAGCGTACCGAATCTACAGCGGCACCAACATCGCCTCCATCGTTGATACAACGCCCGACACTTCATTCTACTTCCTCTCTGACAAGCTGTACTACCCACACATGCTGCTGAAATGTAAGTGTCATCAACGGAGCGAGAGCTTTGGTCAAAGCGTTCTATATCTGATTCCCTGCTCCATGTCTTCCCAAGATTTTTGCAATTATTCTCGAGCGTTTCGGAACTTTATAAATTGGAAGAGCTACAATAGCTTTCCAAAGACACTGGTACGTACAGGAGAAGCACGACCGATGCCTTGGCTAGCTAGAGGCATGATGCTTCGAGCCGCCCATCTCAATCAATCACGCTTTTCCTTGCACCTCGGATCCTCCCAGAACTTACTGATTTTGGGCTCCATCTGCCTCATTTCACCATTGCGCACTGTGGCAGCATATACGGGACGAATTCTCATTTGGATTTTCCTCGGTCCGTTTATGAAGGTCGTTGACATTGTTTGTGTGCGATACCAGTACAAGACAAACGAGGATCTACTCGATGACATTCGGAACGATCGACAGGATAGTGACTATTGGTTCCTGCCGTTTTTTGATTCAATTGTCGAACATGAATCCTTTGATTCCATGAGAAAGACAGGACGCCTTGTAGTGGAGGACGCTGCCAAGCTCAAAGACATGCGTGAGGTTTTGCACGGAAAATGGAGTGAAACAGTGCCATGGGTGGACAATTCTCGACGTCCGAGCGCTCCTTTGCCTGCGTCCTCTGCGGTACCTCGGAGTGCGGATTGTGACAAGTTGGAACAGACTTTTAGCTGGAAATTTGCCCGAGGGAAGCAGTTGGAGGGAGACATGATTATGGGTTGCCCTGGGTGTCCCGGTAGTACTCGATGCGTGGGCAAGGTAGAATCGAAAAAAGATCAGTAGCAACTTCAATGAATGCAGTCGTAAAGTAGCGTGCAAACTAATAGTTTTGATTATTGTAGTTTTTGATTTCCATCGATTCGATTCAGTAACAGGTGCAACACCGACGACGCCTTTCTCCGCGACGGCCGTGCCTGACCTTGGCCTCGTCGCTCTGTTCCAATCATAAATTGTTGCCTTTTTAAGCATCATTTCATTCTCCTTCCTGTCGTGTTCCTTTCTTTTGTACTCTGGCAAAATGCACAATTTCAAGCTCATTCTTTTTTTAGAACAGTAGAATCAACCATGCGACAAAGGTGTAAAAGAAGAGTACCGGAAAGACGGCCAAGAATCTTCGCTCTCTCTTGACGTAAAGCCCAATAAATACGGATGACGCTCTCGTGGCCCAAAGAAATGCCGCCGCCAAAAAGACCAAATCCAACCACGCCCAGGAGAACCATGTCGGTTTGAGGAGATCAATGACGAGTGCTGCCATCGTCATGGGGAAGATGCAGTATCCCAAGACACAGACGGATTGAAAGAAGGAGATGTTTCCCCCCAGGAGTTGTGCATTAATAGTGACAACTGCCGATCCGCACCAGACAGTGATAAAGACGGACGCAAAGACCAAACTGGCCTGGTTGGTGGGAGCTTTGAAACTCAACAAGACAGCCAATGCCAAGCAGACAATCAGGGGGCCCCTGATATATATGTCCAGTATGAACAGATTCCAAAAAGGTAGATTATTGACAATCGTCAGTGTGGAGTAGAACAAAGTTTCGAATGCAGAGGTAGTTTTTGGATTTTAGTCGATGGGAAAGACGGGAATTGTTGGCATTCGAGAGAAAAAGAGAAAATATAAGAGAAGGGAATCTGGTCAGGACATGGTACTGTCTAGTAGAAGTAATAAACAAGGAGAGTGATGTATGATACGGAAGGAGTCAAAAGAAGAACTTACCAAAGATCCCAGTCCTTGAGTTCCTGTATTACTTTTCGGTCATTTTCACTCATTTCGTCATCTTGAGCAGTTTGTTCCGCACCCTGATCTGACTGGGACACTCCCGTGTATCCTCCCACAAAATGGGGCTGCAAGAAGAGAGTTTAAAAGCGCAAGAGTCGAGTGTCGATTCGGTAAGGTCGTGTGGTTAAAGCGAAATTTCAGCCCATTCCATAACAAGCCATGTGATACCGGTAGCATTTATTTGTCACTGCGCAGTAGACTATACGTACCGTTCGATCCAAAGGCAACATGACGACCTTGAGTTTGCTGATAACCGCTCGTACATCTCTCATGATGGTTTCCAGCACGGGTTCGTCAAGGGTACTGTACGGTTGGAACAAGGCCTCCTCGTGAGCGTTGGCATTCATATTGCCGCCCATCGCGGGACCACCGGTACCACCCATCATGCCTCCTTGTGCCGAGAGGCTGGGATCTGCCCATTGCTGTTGACCTGTCTGCATCGTGTGGTCTGTCTGTCTATTTGCTGCTGCTAATACTTAACAAGGGAGTGTTGGTTTGTTTGTTTGTTTGCTTGCTTGCCAGATGCCTCCACTAATCTTTGCTGGGTAAACTTGTGTCTCGTGGCTGTGCGATGCATGAAATGCCGAGACCGATCGAGTGGATCTTGCACGAAAGAAGAAGATACCGCGGGAGAATTCGATTCGACCGGATATTCGAATCGATCCTATTCGATTGACATTCATGCCGCTGAACACCTGGCAAGTGAAGTCAAGTCTTCACTCTCACATCACAAAGCAAGTCCTCGACGCGACCTGCAGAAGCTGGAAGACTTGAACGCAATAGAAGTGATCGACATAGAGACTATCAGCCCGTACGGTAGACAGTCACTCTAGCTAGCAAACAGAAGAAGATGTTTGGAGGCCCACTAAGCTCTCTCTACTACAAGGGCCTTTTCCCCTGTTGTCAAAAAGAAGAGGACAAGAATGCACGTGAAGCCCTCCAGCAGATCAATCAAGTCGGGGAACGCATCATTTGGCATCGACAACCACGCAAAATCTCCGTAGAAAACGTCAAAAAGGCCGCCTTTTCCTTCTTTGGAAAGAAGAAAGAGGCGCAAGAAGAGGAGGACAATAATAATCCGCTCATCAAGGCAAAGTTCCAATTGGTCGACAACTCGGATGGAATTCCAGAAATTCGAGTGGGCAAACGAGGCGTCAACAAGTCCACGCAAGATGACGACGACGACGACGATTGGGAATTTGGTGGATTCGAAGATGAAGAAGCCCCCGCCAAGAAAAAGAAACCCAAACGCAATGACAATAATCTACAAATCGACATTTCACTCAAGAGAATTCATACTGTGGTGCCCGTGGACCAAGACTTGATCCAACTCAACATTCTAGAAGACAATGGACAAAAAACAAAGGAGTGGATCAAATTCAGTGTGGATGGACAACAAGAGCAGCAAGGAGCGCGGAACATGTTTGTACACAATCTACAGGTGCTCATGGAATGGGACAAAGTGAGAAGGAACAATTGCGGCGAATTAGAGTACAATGAAACTTCGGCGGCGTCCTCACTCAGGGCACGAGCACAAAAGGCGGCGCATTTCGCCAGAAGAGAAATTGAAATGAAACAAACCAAAAAGTCCAGAGAAGAACGGAAAGCCAAATATGTTCAGGAAAGCGGTGGTTTGAAGTACACCGCGTTGGCAATGGCCAGAAATGCATCAGCATCCTCCTAGCGAGTATGACACGGTAGAGTAGAATGGAAATGAAATAGAATAACCAACTAAAACTCGGTTTGGTAGATAGAAACAAGTACTAGTCCATAGGACGAACTAGCTACTGGCAGCGCCTTTTCTTCTAGCCAGATAGCCGAGTATTCACTCGATGAAGGGTTTGTCGGAGTGCCCCAGCTAGCTACCGGCACCGTGAATGTTGCCACGGTCGCAGCAGTGCAGTGCCTCGATCGGTGCAGCCAAACAAACAAATGAAGTCTCGTCCCAACACATGGAACGTCACGAGCAGTCATTCCGCCTGCCTTGATTTCGTGGAGTGGCAGTCCTTACACTCCAACAACTGGTTTTCAGAAAGAGCTTCATCTGTCCCCTTTATCAGGACCAAATGAGCGGAATTGTATTTTTCCTCCATAGAAGACACAGCCACCCACCCGCCCTCAACCAAGAGCATTCCTGTTTGGAGTCACAATGCCACGAAGTGCTTGGTTTAGCTCTGACTGCGCCATAGAAAAAAGGAAGACAAAACCACACGTTCAAGCGAACAAGAAGAAGCAGTGAGCCCAGGCCAAGCACATGACCATGCCCCAGGACCCATGAGAGAAGTACAGATGTTGTTGTATTAACCTTTATTGTTCTTAGCTCGCCAAACATACCGCATACTTGCAACCTTCCATTGTCATGAAAAAAGTATCAATATACAGGCTTTTTCATTGCCTCTATCCAGCACCCCTATAGGTGACTCTCCATTCTTTTTCTTGATGCTATTATGGTGTCGCAACTGATTTCATCGTCACCATTCACTCCTTCATCCACTTCTTTAAAACTAACTGGATGCAACTTCAGTAGTAGCCTCAGCTGCAGCTTCAGTACTTTTCTCTTCCGTCTTTCCATTTTCCTCCGATCCATTTTCCGTCGTCTTCTCCGTAGCCTTGGCTCCACCCTTTCCTCGACCAGCACCGTTACGGTTCCTGGGTCGACGTCTGGTATTTCGTGGATTGGCGGGAGTCTTAGCCAAGAAGCACTTGCGCATTTGAAAATTGTTTTTTTGCAGATCATCAGCAGGGTCTGTTTTATCATCACCCCAAAGTGACTCTGGAGTTTCAATCGCCTTGAGACCCGAGACATTTTCTGAGCCAAACAGGGCCAAGATAAAGAAAAATGGCAGAAGTGAGCTCATGCACACACACACACACAATGGGAAATCTGAAATGATGAAAGCAAAACCTTACCATCAGTCCAAGAAAAGGAACCGACAAGGGTACCATCGCTCGTGCCGGCGATTGGATCACTGGTTTTCCATTCCCCGCCCTCAAACTTCAACATGTTTTTCCAGGTCAGGGTAACCTTTCCTTCGTCATCAGATTTGAAAGTTCCTTCGGCCATGATACCATCTGCATGGCACAAGGCAGCATAACCTTCAGGTCCGAACTTGAGTCGGCTTTTCTCCAGCACCAACAAGAGAGAAGTTTGCCTCATGTCCAGCTTCTTTTCCTTCATCTTAGCTTTGACTTCTGGGGTAATTTCGTCATCAAAGCGCTTTCTAGGGGCATTACGACCGCGGCCTCCACTTGCAGGCTTTTTGTCGTCGGTACCATTTTCGCTTCCTTCCGCATTGGTTTTGTCCTTTCCAGCGGCGCCCTTGCCTTTGTTGCGACCACGACGGCCCTTATTTTCTCCATTCTTATTCTCCTTCTCTTTGCCTTCCTCGCCCTCGGGAGTCTCTTCGGTCTTTCCTTCCTCGTCGCCTTCGCCATCCTGCTTTCCTCCCTTGCCTCGTCGGCGGGGATTGGGATTTTTTCGTTCTGGAATCTCACAAGGATCTCCACCAGGCTTTGTCACGTTCTTGCACTTGTATTTCCCAGCATCATCCTTGTATACCTCAAACTCTACTTCATAGTCTGCTTCCTGTAACCAGTTGCAATGGAGACATAAAAAAGACTAGTTAACCACAAAACAAGATACTAGCCACCGATTGTATCCCCTCGGACACCCATTGGCTGATCTCTTGAATCATGCAGGCAAAAGGTATACCCCAGAGATAATAGTGCCATTATCCATGCTGGGTTCTCAAACCAGAAGCCATCACTTACCAGAAATGCATTTTTCCCGTCTGCAACAATGCTGGTCTGATGGAAAAAGATATCTTCCTCGGAGGGAGCATTGTCGCTGCTGGGAGTAATGAATCCATATCCCTTGCGGATAGAGAACCACTTGACCGATCCTTTGATCTTCTCGTCCGACATGGTGTTGGCTTTTACAAAGCGGAAGCTTGTCGTCTGGTCTTGATGTCCTTTATGGGATCCATAAAAGGGTGGGTTCTGGTCGGCCTTCAGCTTTCGAGAGGGAAAGAAAATCCTTGAACGGGTTCGCTGTTGCTGTGTTGTTGCGCTTGTCGCGTGCAGTGCGCGATGTCTTCCTTCCGCCAAGTGTGAGTCTTGGAGGACTGAATCCAAAATGCGAACTCTATTCGATCACGAATGTTTCAGTCCTGAACCTCAACCTTCTCCCACGCAAAAAAGATCTCTTGGAACTTGGTGCCCCGACCACTCCCTAAAGAGCAGACCGGATGAGTGGGGCGAGACGTGAGTTCCGCTTGATAGCCAAAATACAAAAGCATTTCTTTTGGAGTGTTCAAAGGAAGTCGCTTGAAAGACGGACATGATGGATCGTCCCTCTCACTCGCCCATGAAACTAGTTTAGGTTCTAGATAGCTGGTAGCTCTTGATACAAGACCTAACAAGAAGGTGAGAAAACAATCCAGGACTATCCCTCCCCCCTTTTGGAAAACCCAACAAAAGGTGTATCGACTAGAATTGTTGTAGATAGACAGAAGGTCGTGTTGACAGAACGAACCGAGGCAGAGTCGTCTTCATCATCGCTAACAACTCGAATCTCATCGAGCGGTATCTGGGGCGCACTTGTGGCCTGCGGTGCCATCATTGCAGTTTCATTCAAGACCCAGGTGTCCCCTTTGACGACCGGCACCTTGACCTTTTTCTTCGAAAGCTTGTCTAGCATGTTCTTCTTCCTCTTCTTTTGCTCTGATTCGTCAAAGCTTTTGTAAAGAGTCTCCCAGTTTTTTACCAGTGATTGAATGATTCGGCCAACATCCTCGTGGTCATGTGCAAGAGGTCCGTGGCGTGGCCGACGTCAGATTCCGTGACGTCCTTTATGTGTCCCTTGATATTAATAATCGCGAGCCTTTGGTAAGCTTGATGGCGGTCGCAAACGACAAGCATCTCGTAGGGTTCCTGGTACTTCCAATCTCCCAACAATTCAAGGGACTTGAAGATGGGAATGGCGAGTATGTAACCGAACTGGAGGGTGTCAAAATAATTGTTGTGTTCGTTATCAAAAACGAGCTTGTTGGTGTGCAGGCCTGCCGCCAGGTCCATGATCTTCGCAGGCTCCGTGATCTTCTCAGATGGGTCAACCTGTGAACCAGTGTTGAAAATGTCACGACCAACGACCATTGGAAAAATTAGGCGCCAAAACTGGTTGCACTTGGGGTCCTTGGGGATCAGGTGAGCTTTAGATTTGTCGTTGTCCACCGTGTTGTTACCTAGAAGGGTCTTGAGGTGCTTGTTCGAATGATTTTTTTGCCTGCGTTGTCCGTAATACGAGGTTCCGTTGGCTGAGAGTCTGAGTCGGCGGTGACTACCGTGTAGCCGGACTCACCATTAGAATAGATTGATGGATGTGCTTTCAATTCAGCCTCGATCCCTTCACCTCTTTCAAAAGCCCGGACGAATTCATCGTAGTTATGTAGACTTGCATTCTTTTTGCGAAGCTCCTGGAACTGCGAAAGACAACTCCCTTGCCCATCGAAGGATACTTCGACGAATTCCCACACGTCCGGTTTCCTTCGACTTTTTCCCCCCCCAAAGCAGCAATTCCTTTTTCCAGAGCAGCAGCTCGAGACGTTTGGCAGCCCATTTTACTTGTGTTTTGTTGTTTCTACCGGTATGCTGCATGGTTCTCTTGTTTTGGGGAGTTGTTGGTACCTGGTACGAATGGTACCGGTCCGGTTGGTTCTGTTTCGCCAGTACAACACCTCCACGATTCGCTGAATGAAGGGTCTTGGCTACACAGCTATGTACTGAAAATACATGTATGTAGTAGGAAAGAATCGGTGTTTGAACGGAACGAAGTCAGAGTCGGTGTTTGAACGTTTGAACCGAAATCAACCGAAGATCCTACACATTCAGTTTCAACAGCAAGACGATTTTGGGTCTGAGGTGTAACGTGGATACGTAGATGAGGTAAACCAATTGATTTATACAAAACTAAATATCTAAATATATTATTGCGTTGATCCAACAATTTTCTTACAACATTTACCGGGCAGTCTGGAATAGCATTAATATTCCAATATTTACCTTATCTACCATTTTAAAGGTGTCTTCAAGTACATTCCACGAGCAGCTTCCACTATTCCCCTCAGATCTTGTCCCTCTATCAAATTAGGCCTCCACTTCTCGTCTCTTAAAAACATGTATTTAACAATTTCAGCTTTCATTTAAGAGCAACAAAGACAGCATTTCTGAAAAGAACCAGTACACACGAGCATATTGCACTCAAAACCTGCATTTAAGAAACACAATTATGAAATCAATAACTCAGATTAGACTATAGAAGCAGATAAGAATCTCTTGATACTGAAATATTGCAGATTTGTAGACTAAGAAAACTTCCCAGTATTGAGGCCTCAAAGCACAAGAAATAGTACTAGTCTGACGTCATGAAAATGCTTCAAATTTGTGCCTAAATCTGCAAAATTTTCTGCCTCACACAAAGACAGTATTCACCATCTCTGCCTATTATTTGATCCAAACCAATTACGTCCTGAGCAAGTTTGACCCAAAGGCCCAGGTGCACTGGGGGTATCCAAATACAAACCTGTATGATCTAGAAGCTTACCGGTAGTAAGAAATAATTTCTTACTGAAATTGGCTTGTTTTGTTGGAAATAGGACAGATGGGTAAGAAAGCCTACGCACTATCTCCAAGTTAGTGCTTTCTTATTATTAAGTTTGGAGTGTTTCACTGGAAGACTGGCAGCTGGCAGTTGATACTACTGTACTAGTTATTATGGTAGTACGTCGTACCTATGCTACAACTGAGTAGCCAGTGCTCTGAGTGCGGTACTCGAAGTTGATAGTCTTGTAACCACAAAAACGTGACGGTCACAGTTGCTCTTCTCATTTCTCCACTGGGCAGCCTTCGATCCTCCCTGTACCGGTACCGGCCTCCACCACTGCGCGCAGTAAAGGAAGAGGGGGTTTCTCATTTCTCGATCTTTATCCGAAAGGCTCCTCTTGGTATGTGTAGTCGCAACTGTTGCTTCGAACCTTCTTCCGAGCCTCACAACCTCACAGCTACCCTCTAGCTAGCTAGTAAAGATCTCTCCTCGCGCTATAGTCGGTTGATCTTCTTGAGTTGCACTTATGCTTAGTGTTCCAAAGATACCTGGAATGTGCTCCGTTTCATCAAGAAGGGTATCCTTTACAGAGGAGGTGGTAACGGCTGTTACCGTTGTGGAGAGACACGAGGAATCTCAGACAAAGAGTCTGTATTACCATTCAGCCGACTTTCGAAGGTTTCGATGTGAGCGCAAGCAAGAAGAAGGAAGTACGGGTAGCTCCTCTTCATCTTCGAAAGAAAAGACGATGCCAAGGATATATGACCCTCTCAAACCACGGAAAAGAGCCCTTTATCAAGCACCCAAGAGGAAAGTGTTGAGACCGCCAAGCCGGAGTCCAGGTGGAGGCTAGTTGTATCGGAGCCATCAGAAATCAGCAGAGAGGGAATGAACAGCTCGAAAGCTATGAATGTACAGTAGATGGGAGCCATTCACGAATAGAATGCCAAGCATGGGTAATACCCGTCAGAATTTCCGCACCAACGGGTACGTTGCCATCGAATCGCGACGAGAGGGTAGTCAACAGTTGGCTGCAGTCTCCATTTGAGAGCAAGCACTGGCGTGAAACAAGAACAATAAACCAGCCAAAGAACGAGACTAAACTGAAAATTATTGCAAACTAGGAAATTTTTATGATATTGGCTTTCTCCGAAGTCCTGTGGACCGTAGTATGATTGTGTAGCTCGTTTGATGTGGGCCTAATAGAGTTTGAACCAGGGTGACAGTACCCTACTGAACACAGGCTACAAATCGAACACAGCTTTAACTGGTGTGGCCTGATGTAGTCTAGTGGTTATCGTAACGCAGTTCTGAGCTCTGCAATCTTTCTGGGATTTCCACCTTGGTCCCCAGTTCCGGCGGGGTCCTTTCTATATGGTGTATACGCAGCCATCAACGCGGCGTAGTCTCTTTCGGGGAGGGAAGGTTTGGTAGAGCGCAGAGCTGCAAAAAGATGAGACCTCCCGATCATCACATTCTCTTTCATGGGATCTGTTCGCAGGATTTGATGAATAGCACTCAATTGTGCCGTATCAAATGCTGCCTTGAAGTCGGCCGCTGACAACCGAGCCAAGTTGGAAGATGCGCACTTCAATTCACGCACCAGGTGTCCAGATGACAGTAGCTGGAGAACATCTTCGTCCAATGAATACCTGGCGGCAATCTTCAGGAGCACCTCGTTGCATTCTTCCTCGCTTTCAGGGTACCCGACATAAATGTGCTTTTCAAGACGCCCAGGACGTAGCAAAGCCGGGTCTACAATGTCAGGTCTAGACGTAGCAGCTACGATGTAGACTTTGGCTTCTGCCCCACTATCCTCAACTCCATCAAGAAGTGTCAGTAATTGGTTCACAACCCTATCGGTGACTCCTGTGCGATCAGACCCTCGTCGAGGCGCTAAGGAATCCAGCTAGAGAAAGGAATGCATAGAGTTAGTACCTGGTATGGCGAAAGTACATGAAGCTCCCGAGCTTCAGGGTGGCCACGTCACCATCGCTGATCAACATACCTCGTCAAAGAAGAGGATCGCAGGTGAGGAAGCTGCAGCTCTTGCAAAGAGCTCGCGTACTTTCGACTCTGACGCCCCGATGTATCTATCCAGTATTTCAGGACCGCGGCACGTTATCAAAGAAAAGCCACACTTCTTCGCCAGGGCAGGGACCAAGAAGGACTTGCCATTTCCTGGACAGCCAAACAGCAAGACACCCCTTGGCAGACGGATCTTTGCCTTGTCGTATATTCGTCTGTACTTTGCAGGATTCAAAATCGTTGATGTCAGAGCTTCCTTCGCTTCAAACAACCCTCCTACGTCGGCCCATTCTACAGCTCCACTGATGTCGTTGCCCGAGAGTTTGCGTAGTGGAGTAACGTCCTCAAGGGTGTTGTTGACTACTTGAGAGACAGTTTCGGCCGTGCTGTTCTGTCTCTGCAGCGCTTGCTTTACCTTCGATGCAAGAATATGCAAATCCTGTGGTCTGAAACCTTCGCACTTGCGACCTAGTCGGGTCGACTCTATTTCTTCACATTTCACTCCCAGCTCTGCCCCAGAAGTTAGCATCCTCCACAAGAGCCTCTCCTTTTCCAATGGCGCTAGATTCGGAGTATCCACTGTTCGTGTGAAGGGACGGGCGTTCACGATTGATGAGGCCAGCGACCTCTTGTCTCGGAAGGTTATGACGACTGAGAGATGCTTATCTCCTGACCTCTTTGAAGGGTGTCGTTCAATGTACCGTCGTACAACATCGCCGATGAGTTTCGCCTGATCAACTGCAACAGGATTCACTTGATGAGATTGTGCACTTCCACCGTCAGCGCCGCCTTGTAAGTTCGGTGCCAGCTCATCCAAGTCGTCCAAAATGATTGTAGAGTTGGTCCGGGATGCCAACGCCTCTTGAAAGACCCGCGTGAGTTCTGACAGTATGTTTTTCATGCGAATGCCTTTGCTGTCTTTTAACCTTTTACAGTCCAGGTAAACAGTGGAGCTTTGACGTTCAAGGCGGTCTAAGGCAGCCATCAGTAACGCTGTGACGGTCTTCCCACTGCCCACGTCTCCAATCACAAGAGCGTCTCCTGTGCTGGCCATTGATCCCATCTTGTCTTGGAGGCTTGACGGGACGACATATGTTTCTGGAAGAAGATTTATGAGCTGTGGTGTTTGGGGAACATCCATCGACTTGGATGCCACAACCAGATCTGGTGCAGCCGAGCTAAAATCCCGCTCAAGATCCTCACGAAAGACAAAGCATCGATCCCTCTCATTGGTCCTGTCTTCCACTTCCTCCCATCTGGCTTCTTCGGCAGCAATACATACCGCACGTATTCTCAGTTGTTGCGAGTCGTCAGACGATGAGCTAGATGAAACCCAAAGAGAACCATTGTCCATGGGCTCACGAGTGCCAGAGTGAGACCCGCAATCCGAAGCAAGTTGCTTTGGGGTTTCCAACGTGACATTATTGGGGTAGCGCCATTTCGGACCCGTTCGGATATTTCTTGGTTCCACGTCTATGAGGCTCATTGGTGCTTGCTGGGTTTCTTCGGTGGTGTCGGAGAGCATGGATGAACCCCGGAGCACTTCAATTGGTGAAAGCACTCTCAAATGGACAAAATCCAGAAAAGGCTCTAACTTCAACCTGGCTCGAGTCAGGTAATGGATCGCTAAAACGACGAGGCAATGACAGAAAGTGAGTGATACTGAAAACTATGCTCTTGATCAGAACGAAACAACGATCAACACGTGTCTGTATCTCAGAATCAATTGGAAGTATTATGTCCACATTGCTTTTCGGAATTAGCATGGTAATGGTCCTCCTTGATACAGTTTCACCAAGCTTGGGTGCCACGCGAATGGTTAAAGACAACACTTGCACAGCACTCACCAATGTGATCTTTGGGAACCTTTTCGGAAAAGGCAATTTGCAGTAGACATGATGTCTCTGGGCTCGATGGCTCATTGCGGCCAATGGCTGCACTCCACAACACGGCGATTTGATACTTGTCACCCACAAACCCCGCAATGTCGTCCTTGGCCGCTGGATTCACAAACGCAGTCCCAGGAGTCGTAAAGACCAGTGGGTTTCCTGCCTGCTTTGCCAATTGATTCATTGGTTCTGAATAGTCGACTGCAGTGGGGAGAATTCTCAGCGGAGGACTGATTGGATCCAACTTTGGTCTAGGCTTGGGAACCACACTGATGCGAGTGTTTTGCACCAACCGCAAGCACCCTTCACCGCCAAAGTTTTCTGCCAAGACACGAACCTTGGCCACATCGTGTGCCCCCACCCAAAGTGGAACTGTTTGCCCCGCATACACAACACTAATCTGTTGCAACAGCGCCCCACTTTCCAAAAAGGCGGCCTTGATCTCAAGCAATTCCCAATCGTCGCATGTCAAGGGTTCTACCATCAAAATGTCCGCATCTTGGATGGAAGAAAGGGCCATTATTTGAACCATCGTTGGCTGGTCGTCCACAAAATCGTCCGGAAGCACGGAAATTGGCAAGTCTAGTATTCCATCTTCCCCTAAAGAAAGAAGCGTGCACAGCAGCAGATTGTGTGAGATTGTCAGTCAACCAGGATTATGGTTCCGATATACTTCAAGAAAAGCGCACAGCACAGCCTCAGAAGGAAGGCAACAGTGATTTTGTCTCTACATGGATACATGTTCAGTGGTAGTGACAAACTGATTCGATCATTGGCTGGGAGAATGCGCTGGAAATTGCATAACTCTGCATGTTCGTTCACTCACCCGGACCATCACAGTCAGTGTCTCCTCCATTGTACGAGACGTAAATTGTCACATTCGATTCAAAAGTGATAGCCAATGGCAAGAACTCGATCTTGTCATTTTGTGATGCGGACAAAACACTCCAGCCATTGGTCTGTTTGTTACTGGTACCGATGGTGGAACCTTCGGCTTGGATACATGCATGGTCGAGCGCGTCCGCGTGAAGCGTAACCGCGAGGGAAGGGGCCAGCCGGGCAAAGAGCGACGAATGCACAGACAGGCCTTCTTGTCGTCGCCGCTTCAAACGCACTTGACGACCTTGCAGTTCGCCACCAGGCTTTAGAGCATCAGCCTTCATGCTGTGGTGACTTGTTCATCAAAGAAGAAAAAATCGTCAAAATCCAGATTAGAGTAGCTGCCTGGTTAGAGCAGCCTCCAATTAAACTTCAACAGTGCTGTACTTAGTCCGCGGCTTCCTTGGCTGCATATTAGTCATAGAGCCATGCTAATCCAACCTCACGCTCCCAGCAGTTAGTTGTCGTCATGGTCGACCTATTTTATGATGGTACGCTTTGGACAACATCTTTGAGTGGTTGAGAGGCGAAGTTGAAAGATATCATTCACGAGTGTAACAAGACTTACCTCTGCACCGCGTACATTGTACCGGATGCATACAGGCTGAATCTAAACTATCGACACAAACGCAAGCCCGCTCCCGGTAAGACATTCGAATGTGAAACCGAACGTTCCGTGAAAAAACTTAGAGTACCAGTAGCCTCAACCCTAAAATCAACTGACATCACTGGGACGTCAATCGTCCAAGCTACTCCTACTGACCAGCCCACAGGTGGACTGGTTCACTTTCGAAATCTGCAGAGCTGCCACGTGTTAAAAGCAGGTTTGTTCTTTCCTTGTACTTGACTTTCCACGCAAAATCATCTCTGTTACCATGGGAAGACAACTATGATGAACTCAACCAATATAGCACCTACACACCCAAGATAACTATATAGAGTTGTCTACAATCCTTGCTTGTTACAGCCATGTGCTGGTTGTAGTGGTTTGAGCCATGTAGAAGGCATTATTTTATGTCAAACTTGAGGCTTCATTTTCAAGGGGGAAATGGTAAGAAATTTTCAGCCCTACTTTGCCAGCCATTCGTTGCTCTCGTGGCCACCAAATGAACAAGCCACTACCACCACTGCGACGAGCACGTCCAAATTATATATTCCCTGTCTCAAAGTATTGTCAGGTTGACTCTATTGGTCAAACTGCTGGGGTATATCTGTCAGCATGAGGTGATGTCAAAAGTGAAATTTCTTCAAAATGTGAGGCAAATCATGCCATGACTGTCCAGTCCACTGGTGGGCGGAGTCCACTGGTGGGCTCAGGAGTAGACTCTGTTGTTCATTATTTCCATACCTTTACTCTATTGACGCTATCAAGATGATGCTACCGGTATCTCCTCTACAGCGGCTACTCCTCTTAACAAAGGCTACGGTAGTACTACTCACCACCATGACAGGCTCCTCTCGTTTGGTTAGCGGCTGCGGCAGCCATTCGTCGGATCGGTCAGGAGCTTCCGTTCGACGATCGATTTCCGAATGACTTCTTTCTTCTTTCTTCTTCCGCGGAACGACGACGCTTCTACCGCTAAAGCAACAACAAGGCGACTACTACTACTAGAACGACAAGGGACGCCTCGTCAATGGCACTGGCACTGGTTTGTTCGGTTCGGCGGATTGATTTTGGTCTGCTTCCTGCTTTCCTGCTTTCATGGAGCGACCATGAGGATCGCTTCCTCTTCCACGGAGTGGCCGTGAGCCTACGACACTGCTACTACAAAAGCAACAAGCGGCATTTACTCTGCTATTTCTTTGACTTGTGAACTGGTTGACCGAGAACAAGCATCAAATCTGCTGCATTTTCACCAACCTCAAGCCAACAATTCTCCTTTTGAAACTTTGAGTTAGGTGCTACAGTCTTCATCCAAAGCCACCCATTTATTTGCATGGCTCTACAGTGCAGGTTGAGTGCTGACAGGGAGGACAGGAGCACCTTTCCCATGGAGAAATGTATGGCAGAATGACAACAAAATGGAATCCAAGCCTGATTTTTATAGAGGCTCCATAGGAAACCTTAGAGTTGATTGACTCTTTTCAAGGGGGGTGTCTGTGAGTGTGTTGGGGAGCTACTCCTAGAAAAGAGTCAATCAGATCAATGTATTGGTAAAGCTAATGGCCATTTGGTCAACACTGTTGACATGGTGGTAAAATTCATTTTATTTGCTTCAATTTTTTCTTTCTAGGAAGTAGTTATTGCTATGCAAGATTCGCGAAATGACTCTTTTTGTTAGAAATGACTGCTTCCAATTTTGGTTTGGCCAAAACGAGAATTCATTTTGACACCTGTCAGCGGTGTATAAAGTCATCATGTATAGTGTAAAATAGTCTGTGGTGTGAGTGTGGGAGATGACATAAATGGGGGGGGGGGGCACTCACAGGTAGCTAGCTAGTTAGAATGCAGTAGCTGCACCTGTCCGCCAGTCAGCTCTAAGTGAACTTTGCTCACAATCATTTTAGCATACACGTATGCTTTTCCACAGTAAAAGAGTACATTTTGAGGGGGTACCAGAATACGTTCGACCAAAGAGTAAAATCTGCTACTCGCAGTGAATAGACCACAACAACCATCACAGCATGAAGTTCCGCTGCACACAAAATCAGTCCACTCATGTTCTGAACCAAAAAACTGGATGCCATTGCGGAAATGGTTGATCTAACAGATGACAGGATGTATACTACTAAGGTCCACATGAAGCCTAAGGCACTACCACGTATGAGGTACTACCGCAATGGTTTCTTCAATCCAGCGAAGCACGAGATGTTGGCATTCAAGGATGCCATCAAGGCAGCTATTCCTGGGGAATCCAGAATGCACGACCTAAATTAGCAGATTTCGAATATTTTTGAAAATACGACTTAAGTCGTGGGTGTCGCTTTGGACATGGTCGGCCAGCTCAGATTTAACCGCTCCAAACGAGCTCCAAATCGGCTCCTAAATCCTGGATCCATTCGTGCATCAGCTCCTATTTCTACAATCGGCTCCAAATCGGCTCTTAATTTTAGGAGCTGATTCGTGAATCAGCTCCTAAATCGATCAGCTCTTAACAATCTCTTTTAAAATCGGCTCTTAATCTCATCAGCTCCTAATCAGCTCCTATTATTTTCCAACCATGTCATTGTCAACCACTGCTGCCGCTGCTTAATAAGCGAGAAGCGCCATTGTGTTGGTTTTAAAGAGTGAGTCTATTATTGAATGGCGGTGAGCCACCTTAGCTATAAGCCTGCAGGCTGTCTATGTATCGATCCAAACGCTAACACCCCCCTGGATTGCATACCTTTAGACAGGCGTGCGTGGGGCCATTAGGCAGGCGCGGAGATCAAAGAAATGTTGCTTATCCTTCATTTCCTTGGTGAAGAGATCCGAGGGATTGAGAATGCCGGGGATGTGATGGAGCGAGATTTCCCCAAGGCGTAGAGAATCGCGTACGGCCACCTCTCGGAGATTGTGGTGACGGAGGCGTTTGGTGACAGCCTCGGACTGTGCCCAGGAAATACCCCCCTGGTTATCACAGTACATTATGGGAGTGGGTTCGGCAAGATGGGGACGCCGAGATCTTCAAAAAGGTGACGGAGAGCCAGAACCATTTTGACTCCTTCGTCCATAGCCTTGATTTCGGATTCACAAACACTGCGGCTAACGCGTTTCTCCGCGTGCTGGTCCAATCAAGAGGGCCGCCCATATAGGTGACGACGGCACCTAAAAGGGAGAGCATTTCGACATCAGTGCGTGTTTCGCGGGTTTGGGGTGGCTAGCTCTTGGGGGCCCAATTAGAACGGTGTAGGTGTCAAGCCGATCGTGGATGTTGATTTCAGGAGATCCGTCGGCGGGCCAGATACAATGCCGCGCATGCAGTCTTCTGGGTCGAACTGCGGGCGGTGGGAGAGTGTCGGCCTGAGTGTATGCAATTCCCCATCCAGCGGAGCCTTTGAGATAGCGGAGAACATGTTTGGCGCTTGTAAGGTGTCCTGGGGATGGATTGTGGAGATATGTAGCTAACAGGCTGGTAACTGGAGTGATGTCCGGCCGAGTGCTAAGCTGATCCAGTTAGGCCGCCGACATAGATTGATAGCCTTACGAGAAGTGGTTTCTCAGAAGGATCGATTCCATCATGTTCGACTCGATCGATTGGGAGGCCACTGCGATAGGGGCTGTCGACTGCGTTTGCTCAAGGAGAGAGTGCTGGTCAAGCATCTTGTGAATGTGTCTTCTTGTGAACAGTGAACGCGCGAACGACCGTCCGGGAGAACTTGCCAATCGTAATGAGTGCCGAGGTAGAAAGAAAGGTCACCCATAAAATCGATCTTGAGCTGGGAGCCAAGAGCCTGTTCAAACCAAGCCTCGGTAGCGTCGTCGGATCCCCAATATAGACAGTCGTCGACGTACGTGCCGAAGGTAATGGTGCCGCCAGTAGGGGATTGACCGACGAAGACGCAGGGATCATGTTTGCACACTTCAAGTCCCAAACCTGTAAGCACTTTGCGGAACGTTTGATACCAGTGCGAGGACTTCTGCGTAAGCCGTAGAGAGTTTTCTTCAATCGCCAGAAGGTGCCTGGCTTGGAATACGGGCAGCCTTTTGGTGGAATGCACACACAGATCTCGTCCTCTGGTAGTGTGGGGTGACAGAAGGCGTTCTTGGCGTCGCACTGCTTGACCCGGCGTCCCTTAGAGATTGCAAGGATACGATAGCGCGAATACTGTGTTTCATGATGACTGGGGCGAAAAGATCGTTCTTGCTCCAGTATCGTTCTTCGACATTCCCCATCACAACTGTGCGAGACTTGGCGCGGAGAGGTTTACCCTCCGAATCCGTTTTAACCGTGTGTATGCACATTGTGGGGATGGCGGTGATGTTGTATCGCTGAACAGCGTTGGTACTCTGCGGCGTTGATTTCTCGTAGGTATCCAGAGAGATAAGTCCATTGCGCTCCTCGTCGTAAGATGCCAGCCACGTAGCGTAGTCGGGGTGTTTTTTATCGCGTAGCGCTTGCCATAGGAATGTGGGATATGGTTTCGACAGTCCTTTAGCGGAGACATGCCTGGCGTGTCCGCGAAATCGTCGTCCGGATCGGGTTCCAGTGGTGTTTCCGAGATCTCCCGTCATGGGGCTATCCGAAGACGGTTCGTTGCGTAGCAGAGGACTGTTGGTTATCTGATGGCCTAGTTGGAGGGTTTCATCGGAAAGAAAGGTTCGCCAGTCTGAAGGTAGATTGGGAATCTCCAGTTCAGTAACACGACGGCCAGTTCGGTCGTGTTGCGCGAAGCACCAGTGTGATTTGGCGGTCAGTTCAAGAGTACCGAGAGGCGCTGACCATTACGAAGAGTACCCGACCTTTTGCCCGTCTTGAGCCATGGTGGTGGCAGGGGATGTATTGGATCACCGTTCGACGGATCGTGATTAGGATCAAACTCAAGCTCATGCGCCTCGCATTCGGAATAGTCGTAAAGATCAGTTTGCAT